ATGAAATATATTTCTATTAAAGTACTGTAGTCCCNCTTTCATCTTTATCCTTTCATCTTTATCCTTTCATCTTTATCCTTTCATCTTTATCCTTTCATCTTTATCCTTTCATCTTTATCCTTTCATCTTTATCCTTTCATCTTTATCCTTTCATCTTTATCCTTTCATCTTTATCCTTTCATCTTTATCCTTTCATCTTTATCCTTTCATCTTTATCCTTTCATCTTTATCCTTTCATCTTTATCCTTTCATCTTTATCCTTTCATCTTTATCCTTTCATCTTTATCCTTTCATCTTTATCCTTTCATCTTTATCCTTTCATATTTATCCTTTCATCTTTATACTTTCATCTTTATCCTTTCACCTTTATCCTTTCATCTTTATCCTTTCATCTTTATCCTTTCATCTTTATCCTTTCATCTTTATCCTTTCATCTTTATCCTTTCATCTTTACCCTTTCGTTCTCTTTTTATGTCATTCGTTCACATTGATCTAAAGGCTGCAAGCTGTCACTCGAAAACCGTTGAGAATTTTGTCAATTACTTTTTAAAAACATTAGTTAAAAGAAATTGTTATATAGTTCTGAAATTTAAATGTCTACGGCTGCAAAAAAGTATGTGCAAAAGCAAAGGCCATGAAGCGTTGAGACACTTGAAAATAGATGAAACTTTTTATAGCAGCATAAATCTGTTCTTGAATCTTCATTTTCCTTCTCATTATTTTTCCCATTCTTTATTTTCCTGTTTGTTTTGTTTTTCTTTTTTTCCCTTTTATTAATTGAATTCTATTCTCCTTTTCGTTAATCATTTTCTTTTTCTTCTTGCATTACCTTTTTCAGTCACACTTTTCAATTCAATTGTTTCGAAAATGGAATGGGTTTTTATTGAAAATAAACTATCAGTTTTAATTTTAGGAAAGAAGTAAATAGTGTTATTTGTAGTTATCATCGTGCTTAATACTATTTTGGAAATAGTTTCTTTAATTGATATTTGCACTCGGCACAAGATGAGTTACCAAAACGTTGATCATAATATTTGTGCCCAAACCTGACACTCAGTGTCAAGTTTGAAACATAAGCACGGTTTAGAACTTTCTTCCCTTGAAATAAGAGGTCATTGTATTAACTCTTTATAACAGTATTAATTTGGTTCGCAGTGCCATAACAGAAATATTTCTTTTTATTGAGTTTGGATTATATTTTGATTGACGTTTTAGCGATGTTTACTTTATGACACTGCTATAATGAAGTTGATCCGAAGCAAGCATGAATGATAAAGTGCACAATATTTTCATAAAATATTAATGAATGCAAAGTGTATTTAATTAACTCATTAATTATGAGAGAAATCATTAAGTTTATGATTGATAGTTTTAATACTCTGGAATATACGTTTGGTTTATGTAAATTTTCTTTTTAATGAATGTTGCACCGAATCAGAAATTTAATAAATTTCAAGTTATGAAGCAAGACTTAAAGATAAACAAAAATTTGATAAAAATGAATGAAAAATTTATACCGTGGACGAAAAATGAAATCATGAATGAAAAAAACAAATACATTTTTAATTTGTTTATCAAACACAAACAAAAAATACAAAGCTTATATTTCTTTTGAAAACTCGTCTCTATAAATGCTTAACGAAGAAGACATCTTTTTGACAGAATTTACGTTTGTTTGGGCGGAGTTAGCCTTTAGAAACCTAGGATTGGATCTAGTCCCAACCCATCTCAATAGAGTGATAACTACCCAACCATATATAGAACTCAGGGTTTATACACCCTGTAATATATAGAACTTAGGGTTTTTACATGTCCCTGTAATATATATAGAACTCAGGGATACAGTTTGTAATATATTCAAAATTATATACTTCTAGGTTGCCCATGGGATTAAAAAATCTAATTTAAAAAAATAATTTAAATTTTTTAGCCTTTGTTACCCTCGGGATACCCCTCTGTTCCCTTAAAAAATGTCATTCCATTCGGTCCAGCTGTTTAGCCGGCTATGAGGACATATATACGAATGTCTTGGTATATTAATAGACAGGTCTGCACCGAAATTAAAAGTTTTTTTTTCATAAATTCTCAAAATATTTTAATTTTTTAATTAAACCCGATTTATATTAAAAATAATTTCAGAACTTTGTGGGGAAAAAAAAAAACACTGAAAATTATTCAAATCGTTTGTAGACTTTTGATAGTAATGACAAGGATGGTTAAGAAAAAAATACTTTTCTTCTGTATTCTAATATAGATAGAATATTTCTTATCAGAATGAAAAAACTTTTTTTAAGAATAAATATTAATTAATGTTAAGCCATGCACTCAGACGCAGCAGGCGCATACAAGGAACATGTTAAAGTAGATAGAAGACTAAATGTCACGAATAAATTCAAATACCAAAGACGACTTTCAAGTCGTCTTGCTATTGTCATGTTTCGTGGGACACCCTGTATGTGACACATAATTTGTATAGTAAAAGACGATGATAAAAAGTCTTTGATTAAAAGTCGTTGAATAAAAGTTTTTAATTTTAAATAAGTCCTTGATTAAAGTCCTTGATTTTAAGTCCTTATTATAAGTATCTACCTCTCAAAAAAATTCAACATTTTTGGAAATATAAAAATAAAAACATAAAAATCAGTGAAATGTTTCTACACGAAAATGTTTGAGGGATAAAATTAAAAATGACCCACTCTATTTAGTTCTTAAATGAAGAATGAATTTTTTTTAAAATCTATTTGAATCCTTATAATTAACGACATTTGTAGACCCTCTAGGACTTTAAGTCCTTCAAAAGTAATTATTTTTTTGAATGCATTTTCGGAGTTAGATTTAGCTTTGAGCCAATTGACTCAGTTTCTATCAATCAATATATTGATTATTTTAGTCACTCATTCATTATTTCTTATTGAATTCATTCTTTCATTCATCCTTTCATCCTACATTCATTCTTTAAAATCTTCATTCTTTTAATCTGTTATGTTCTTCTTATCTATGAAATTCATTATTTTATTGAATTTTTGGCTGTTTTCATAAGTTTTCATCTTTATCCTTTCATCTTTAATTAACTTCCTGTTTACGCCCCTGCCAACAGATTAACTTCCTGTTTACGCCCCTGCCAAGAGATTTGCATCATTTCTCCGGTTATGGTGTAAAATCATTTTAACCTTGGGTTTTCAAGAGGAGAAAACACACCATACCTAGGAATTCAGAGGTGCAATTGGAGGTATTTTCGGGGGGGGGAATAATTGGTTTTCAAGAGGAGAAAACACATTTATACACCATACCTAGGAATTAAGAGGTGCAATTGGAGTATTTTCAAGGGGGGGGGATATTTGGTTTTCAAGAGGAGAAAACACATTTCCAAAATATGATTCCATTTTTAAAGAATATTAGCAAGAATATTGCTGGGTATTGACAATTTTTTTTCTTCTGTTTTTTTGTCCTGGTAAATACTTTATTTAACTTATGTTGTTACAATTTTTTGGAACGTACGATGGGGGGGCGCAATTTAGGTGTCTATGAATTGGCTCTGCACGATTTGAAGACAGAAGAGAAGGTTTCAGTTCATGTACAGGGTTACCCACAAAAGATGAAACTATAGAGACGACTATATGGAATATTCTCTACTGTCTGTTGTACAGCTTATTATATATAAACGATTTCTTGTAACTGTAGTCTGTAAACTTGTTTCTTTCTTTGTCAAATCTTTAAATAAGCCATAAAAAGGAAACAAAATGTCCAATAACATAAAACCTAAAACATAACACCCAAAAATCAAAACACCCAAGATTTCAAAATGTCCAATGTTACAAAATGTCCAAAGCAACAAAAATCCCAAATCCCAAAATGTCAAAAGTTACCAAATTGTTACAAAATGTCCAAAGTTACAAAATGTCCAAAGAGACAAAACAACCAAAATTTTCTAAAATTGTCAAAATGATATTTGGATATTTTCAAAAAAGGGGGTTTAAAGCGGGGCACAACAAAAAAAAATTTGCCCCCCTCCGTACACAAATGCTCTCCCCCTCCCTAAAATTTTTAGGGGGGGGGTGCAAGAAAAATATGTGTATTTATGCTCAAACAATAAAAAACTAACCGTACCTTAACCGGATTTAGTAATTGTCAACACATCTTATGAAATAAAAAAAGAAATCTATTCTGGTTAAAATAAATCACAATAGTAATTAATATATAATTTACATGAATAATTCATTATTCATCCATGAATTAGTACTCATGTACTCAGTAAAAAATCATGATTATGAATTTTTTTTTTTGATTCGACACATCACACAATTTATTTGCGGTGATCATGTAGGGTTAATTTTGAATAGTTAGTATTTAAGAAATTTCATACAATAAAATCCTTAATCGATCATCGGAAGAATTTATCAAAAGGCGCCTTGACAATGTTTCAATTGTGTTTTTATACTACATTACGTAAAGTTCAGTATTTGTGAAAATAAATAAATAGCCATGAATATGCGGGATCAGTTTTAAAGAGAAGAGTTCCATATAATCATTTTATTAAAAAACTAAATATCTGCAACATTCCATTATCAGAAAGTGAAGAATACGACATTTGATGAATTCTGTCGATGTAATTATTCGAGTTATTATATAATGGTTTCACTGTAACAGAACTGAAAATATCTAAAAATACTTCATAAACCACTTTTTCCTTTCCCATTAATTCATGAATCGTATATTTCAAAGCAGGGTGGACTTCTGCCCCCCCTAGTTGCGCGCTTGGTTGCCCCCCCCCCCTCCGTACGTATTCGTCAAAATTTAAGCATTTTAATTTAGAGTTGAAAGGATTGTGGTACGGCTGTAATTGATTTTGAAAGAATTCAAAATGACATCTAAAATATTTGCAAAAAATACAACACACAAATAGAGTTCTTAAATAATAATTAATTAAGTATTGACTTAATTTCTAGAATTTAAAGGGTCACCCTGTTGAGTAATTGATCAGCTGACTAGAGAGAGTTTCATCCAAACCAAACCAACTTTATGTTTTTATTCTTTCCTCACGGCTCACTCAGTTAAAGCCGGAGAATTGTTCGACTGGCTTTGGTTATTTTGTGTTAATAGTTAAAAGGTAAGGATGTAGGATATAATAATAAGATTAATGGAATTGTTGAGTCCTCCCTTTTTCATGATTATTGTGTAAAATCTGCCGTCAAAATTAATGTAATTACTTTTAAGATATAAAATATAGAATTACCATATAATAGTCTAAATAGTAGTAAAAGGAGAACATACGTAGATATGACCAAATGATATATTGTAGATAATTACCCCCTCTTCCCCTCCTAAAACATTTAAACTTAACACTTTGATTTAAATAAATTTCAATACAAGCCTAAAAATACATATATATATATATATATACTGTACAGTTGGTTAAGAAAAATAACATTCTTGCGCCAAGCGCTGCGACTAGGAAAAATCTAGGGGTTGAAAGGGGTCCGAGCGCTGGGGGTAGGACAAACTAGGGGACTACTTAGCCCATGCCTCTAGGGCATTAAAGGGGGACATCCTGGTAACTTCCTCGAGAACGATTTTTGGACCCCGCCCCCAACAAAGAGAACATGTTTACAATTAATTCAGAAGATGGGCGCGAAGCGCCCTCTAAGGCTAGAAAGAAGGGCGCGAAGCGCCTTGAATTTCTAGTATGTATATATTTTTTTGTCCGTGAATCGGAATTTACATCCACAATTCTAAACTATGGATTTTAAAAATTTTCAGGGGAGTATTTTTCTCGGAAAGTTATTTTTCCTCCATAAGTTATATTTTTTGCTTAGAATTTTATTTGTCTGATTTTGAAAAAAATGATTTTTATGAGGGAAAAATAATTTCTGGGTTTAAGTTTCAACAAGAATAAAATTTAAAACAAACTTGAAAACAAAACCAATTAAATAAAATATTTAAATTTTAGATGCGTCTCCGAGCGGACCGAGGCAAAGAAGCTTAACAAGAAGGCGAGAACACAGTGCAAGGTATACAAAAATAATATGTATTAAAAACAATTTTACCTTTAAAATATATATTTCAAACAATATCTCGAAAATAAACCTAGTTTTGATTAATTTAATCACTGTTTAAACAACCTCATCTTGTTTTAAATTAATTTTTATTCATTTTTTGTTTAATCTGATTACATTGATATCCTTATGTTCATGAAAATAATTGCATAATTAATCCTTTTTTTATAATTATAATTAACAATTACTATGATGTATTTTCAATTTAAATCCTCAAATAATTTCCTCCCTCAGTTGTTGGCCCTGAATGTGTAATATACAGGAATTGGGTAAAATAAATGATTTTAGGGTAAAAAAATGGGTATTAATTATCGAAAAGGATGTAAAACTTGCCTTCCCCCCCCCCCCCCCTGGAACATATAAAATCAGTTCCCAACACCCAAGCACAGAGTGTTCAAAGTGAACATTCTTCAACTCATCTTGACTATAATATGGCCGTTATTCGCATTTTACAGGAAAAGACAAATTATAACATATTCCAAAAAGTCCTTTTTTATGATTTTACAGACCTAAAAAGTTTTTAATTTGTTAAAAACAAGGTACAACATAGGAGCCATTTTCAGGGATTCAGTTTTAATCAAAATAAGCCCAAATCTCTCTTTTGTATGACCACACTGTGGGAGGGGGGGGGGGGGGTTCTTAAATATTTAATATTAAATTTTAATGTTTTCTTCCCCCAAAGCATCAATTCCCCGACAAGGAGGGGGGGTTTCTTGAAAATACATACCCTGGTGCAGAACATTGTTTGATATTAGGCAGGATACTGGTCAGGGCTGGACCCGGAGTATGCCGGAGAAAGAAACGGAAGACCAATCAACAGACTCTATCAAGAGGATACAACGGTAATGATTGATTGATTGATTTAATGATAGGTTGATTGACTGTTTAACTCATTGAATTAGGTGATAAATATTCTTCTTCTCAAATACTTTATTAAAAACAAAAGAACATTTATACACTTAGAATATAATTATAGGTATACAGTGGCTTGTTCTCCCTCTATAGTTTCAGATAAAATAACAGACGTGATTTCAAATATTCCATGGAAGAAGAAATAGAGATAAACTTTTAATAAATCTGCAAAAATTATGGATTTATGAATTTGTAAAGTGGCTTGTTCGCCCTTTTATTTAGCAAAGATAATATATTCAATAAAAGAAAAACGAGAGAAAAAACTTTAAAAATCAGCAGAAATTTTTGATAAGGGCGTAAATGCATAAACGCCTAGAGCTAAAATGCATAAATATTGATCGGTTGATTGGTTGATTGTCTTATTAGGGAACGACTGGTCGGTTGGTTGATTTATTCATTGAACAGCCGATTGATTGTTTAATTGATTAATTGCTTGATTTATTAACTAATAAGTTTTGAAATAAAAATCGGTTCAATGATGGATTGATTTATTAATATGTTTGGTCAATTGATTAGTGGATAGTTAAATTGATTTGCTAAATACCATGTATTAAGGTATAAGGAGGAGAGGCGGAAGCAGTTAGCTGCTCAGGCAGCTTCTCGTCTCTCAGGGAACGCGAGCTCAAGCGAGGAGGATGATCAGGCGGACAGGTAGAAGGAGGGGGGGGGGAGTGGATATATATTTATGTACTGAAATACAAATGCCCGGACATAAAAAAAAGTTTGGTGCTTCGGGAAAATGTAAATTTTAGCCTAGTGTATTTGTCGGGATTTAGAAATTTTATGTTGCGGGCAAGGGGGGGAAAGAGGACCGTCTAAAAACTTTTTTTTAACATGTAAAAGCTGTCAACCTTTTTATCATGATGTTTAGGGGGCTAGGAATATTTCAAGAACTCTCTAGAGTTTTGTTCGCAGTTTCGGAAAGTAATGTACACGAACGCAGTGATGATGCTTATTGTTCAGGCCTTGTTTACATTACTCCCAGAAACTGCAGTACACTTTTTTAACAACAATGAAGTCGTTTATGATAAAATACTTGATAGTTGTTAAATTGTGATAAATATTTTCATTGACCTGTTTTAAGGCGTTCTTACACGGAGTTTAAGAGAAGGAGGAGAAGGGAGAGAGGAAGTAAGGAGAATAATAAGGTGAGGGTTATGTTTACGGCGCCCTGGAGGGAAGATGGGGGGGGGGGGGTATAGAAATGAACATTTTCTCAAATGACTCGATTCTTCTTAAAATTAAGTGATAAAAACCGAAGAAAAACTTTGAACAATTTGGATGACAAAATGTTTTAAATATTTCTCTTCTTTGTGTACGTTTATTTTTGATAAAAAAAAAATCAACTTTAACTACGTTACACAAAGGTTGCAAAATATAAACTCTACAAAGTTATAGGGATAGGGTTTCATGGATGGAAGGAAAGGAGAGGGGGGGGGGTATGATTATATCACGAAAACATGTACTCTTGCATTGTCCATTAATGCATTTACTCAATATTGGAAAAATATCTTGGAAAACAACACGACATTAATAAGAGACAAGTATTTTTTCTTTACAGGCGCGTATCGTTATTTATTTATTGATTTTAATGAAAAATAGGTAATCTATGACTTTTATTTATAACAAGGACATAGGTTATCATAAAAACTAAAATAAAATAAATAAATTGCAGTGCAGTATACTGGTCAGCTTATACAGACTTAGACATGTGACAATAATACTGTACTGCCATTGGGTTGAAGTTCTGGTCACGTGATACGGACGTATATCTTACATATATATATATATATATATTTACGTTTTGGTATAATTTTGTCACAGTCTTATCTCAATTTCTCGGGACAGGAACATTAGATAGATGTCTTATATGTATCGTTTAACGCCTGAGATTCTCACGTTTCAGCCTTTACCCGCTTTCTTTTTCCTTTACAGTCCCTTTAAATACAATTTAGCTATCCATAAATGTAGTAATGGCGTCGAACTAAAAGTTTAATTTTATTCACTGAAAATAATACATTTATAATTAATTTATTCAATAAAAGTGAAATATATGGAGGGGAGGGAGGGGGGGGGGGGGTTCTTGACAACGCCCTTTAAGAAGTCCTCAGTGTACAAATATGTCTGCTGGTTATTTAGAAGGAATTTTATCTTGAAGAAAATATCATTTGTCATTAATCTTACTGTTAAGAACAGTTTCTTCAAGGATAGTCAAGTTCTCAGTCAGAAATAAAGTAATTGTCCCTGTTGTTTCAAGTGAATCTCTATGTTAAGGACAGCCATGACCGATTAACAAAATCATTGTTTGATCAAACGATCTTGAAGATATCGTCATTTTTCTTGCATTGAAAATGTTTTCTTCGGTATACGGAAATCTGCAAGTTCCTTCAAAGAGAAACCACAATTAAAAATAATGAATTCTTTTTTAACCTTAGATTGATTATTTTCTACTAAGATTATTTCTAAAAGGAGCGACTTTGGTATTTATGCACTCGGAGAAAAATGAGGAAATTGTCAGAATTACACACTTTTGCAGAGCAGAAAAACGTCAATCCATTTTCCCCAGATAAAGATTTAATTGTAGATTATACATTTCACTCTACTAACTTGAAATTACGCCTACAGTCCCTTTAAATTCAATTCAAATTTTTAAACTTGAAGAATTGACCGTCCTGCTAAAGACAGTCCTTGGAATTAATCAACTAAATGACCATCCTGCCAAAGACAGCCCTTGGAATTAATCAACTAAATGACCATCCTGCCAAAGACAGTCCTTGGAATTAATCAACTAAATGACCATCCTGCCAAAGACAGTCCTTGGAATTNTGGGGGGGGGGAATTTCTGAGGGTCTGGAAAAAATTACCCTGAAACTACCTAACTTCTGAAGGAAAAAAAGTATTTTAAAAATGTGTTGTGAATGATTTTCCAAGAAAATATTAATCCCTGATTGTAATATTATCAATATTCTCAGGGTTCATCCAGACACAACCTAAACTCCTCCGGCGGGGAGCTGTATCAGAGCCGGAGCCGAGGTTCTCCTGATACAAGAATATCTCCGGATCTTCAAACCTCTCCGTCCCTACGAGGTTCTCAGGACCTCTTGAAAGGATCTCCCGAGGTCCCTGAACGTTCCAAGGGATACTCGAGGTTGAAAGGTTCTCCGAGTAGGTTGAAGAGTAGGTCTAGAGATAGGTCTTGCTCCAACTATGCCCGGAGAAGAGAATCTTTAGAGCCTGAACCTCAAGTTCCTCAGGGAGCAGTTGGAGTAGGAGCAGCTGAGCTGGACAGAAATAAAGATTCTCCAGAGCATATTTATCAGGTTATTATTATTATTATTATTATCATTATTATTATTATTATTATTGTCAGGTACAAAGTGATCTGATTCCCATGTCCAGAAATTGTCACCGTAAAATATTTGACTTGAACTTGTTAATGTTTTTTTTTGATTTGACGCAGTTAAAAAAACAATTACAAGTTAGATATTGGTACTAACACTTTTTACTCTCTAACTTCTGGACCCCCCCCCCCCCCGCGATGGTCCTTTTTACGGTTTTCTCCCTTAGGACCCTAAGCCTGTCTGACCCAAAAATTGTTAAACCCTAAACTAAATTAAGATTTCATAGGTTATTTTTAATTCAATACAATAAAAGAAGGATCGGAGCTCAAAATGGGGGAGGGGTCCTTATTCTCGAGCTAGGGTTGGGACCCCATATATTCAAATCTATTTAACTATTACACATGAACATAAAAAAATCTCCAAAAAGTTTGATTGAGAATGAGTTTTTTTGTGTTGTATTTTAACTAAAATGCTAACAAGCAATGAGAGGTTTTAAAGAAAACTTCAAAATATTTTGAGTGTTAAAACAAAAATTAAAATGAATGAAACTAGTTTTTCCTCTGAATAGAAATGCATTTGTTCGCGGATTAACTCTATTTTGTGGTTTGCCGCGCAGTTTTACGTGGGAGGGGGGAGCGAGTATTTCCACTTTGCGTTCAACAATCAGACGCAAATAGCTAATCAGATTCATCAGCGGAAAACTATTTTTGTGGGGGTAGGGGGATAGTAGATAGTGGATAAGGACAGGGACAAAGATATGAGAAGCGTACGGAATTTATCCTCTTCTATATACCCGGATATTCTCTAGGTGATACCTGAACCTCCTGAGTCACGTCCCAGATTCCTTGGACCTAAACAGAACCAAACCCAAAAATCTCAGGTACTTGCTAAATAAAAAAAAAACAACTATATTTTAAAGGGTTTTACAAATTGAAAAAGGCTTTTTCAACTCTTACGTAAACTAACAATAGACAAAAAAGGAAAACGAAAAAAGGTTCACCCTTTATTTTTACTGAACAGCTTCTATAATCATATTTATAAAATTAATTATAAAATTTTTTAAATTTTATTTAGGATCTGTCCACGGACAGTGCTAGTAATATTTCTCCTGCCTACAGTAAAGACAGTCTTGATAGATCAGGCAGCAGGGATAGTTTAGGTACAGTTTAAACAAAAATAAACTCATGTAAAAATTATCATTTAAAGGGACTGTTAGCTTCATTTCAAGTGGCACTTAATTCAAAGATGGCAATACCTGAATCATAACTGTTGAAGATACTGTCGTTTTTCTAGGGTTAAAAGTAGTAGATGTACATTGTACATTGTACAGATAATCCTGATATGTCTCATCACAGTGCAAAAGTTGCTTTTGTATAAACCCACAGTTATAAATGATCAGTTTTCAAAAATATAAACATTGATATCTAATTCATTCTTGATCCTACAAAGCTTTTAAGGGTACAGTTGTGAATCGGGTATTGCCATCTTTGCATGCAGGGTCACTTGAAATTTCTCTTACAATCCCTTTAACATTTTCATCCCTTCTCATATACATAAATTTTGTTCTCTCTTACCTTCAAAGAAATTAAAAACTTATTTTTTTGCAAAAATACTTTTTTTAATGTATAAGAAATATTTATTAAACCTTTGTTCTGAATTAAAACCCATTTTTTTTTTATTTAAAAAAATTAAATAATTAATTTCAAATAAAAACTTAGAAAAGATTAAAATTAAATTCTGGCTGATTTATATATATTTTTTTTCGCGATTTAAAAAAATATGTTTTAGGAGACAAGGATTTGTTGGAGCGGGAGGGTCTAGTGTCTCCGGATATAATCAGGAATGTGAGTAATCAAATCACTCCAACACCTAGGCGAAGAAGGAAAAATCAAGGTATTTACGAGACTGAGTCTTTAATCCTTTATCTGAACAACAACGGGGAAGATATCGACGGGTTCTTTTTATATAAAATAGTGTCGAATTCTGTCAATTTCTTTTATTTGTCTCCGGAGTCACTTAACAGAAAACCCACAAATCGAAATTATCTAATTCTTTAGTTAGACAATCAAGGATATCTTTATTAGTATTTGCTCAATTACAAAGGTTTAATGGGTATCACTGTGAATTGGACAAGTAACTCCGTTTTTTTTAATAGTTACAGAACTTTATTCCCTCGAAAGAAAAACATTAATATATTAAATAAAGAGTGCTTTTTTAAGAAATAGAAATGTGAAAATCCGCTTTTTACAACTTGTCTCTCTTGTAAGTAGTCCTCCCTTAATAATCACATAATCATAATAATTATAATACGAGGATATACGAGTATTGATCTGAAAATTTCCCCATCTTGAGAAACCCAAACCGCCAACGGAGGATTAGTAATGCACCCGGCCAGAACTTATGGTCCGGTCCAACCCGGCCATCCCTAACAGGATGAAGTACTACCTGGAGGCGAGGAGCGAAGCGCACTCTGCCACAGCCTGTCATGTTGTGCCTACGCTATTAAGCTAATATTGTACCTGTAATACGTTCGACTTGCCAGAACAATTCCTTTGTTATGTGGCGGATGGTGTCCCCTCTTGACATTATTGTGTTTATAAACACTAATTAATACTTTTTTAAAGAAAATATGTATTCCAGATTAAATATCTATCCACTTTAGAATTGTACCAATTATGTTTTTCAGATGAATCCATTCTAGCCGTCTCTTCTAAGTTTCCTTCAGTCCGTCCAACTCTGGATCTAACCCTGAGTAAAACCGTCCTAGATCTAAACCCTAAACCTCACCAGGACTTCACTGCCAAATCAAACCTTGAGCTAGACCTGAAACCTTCTCATGAAGCCTCCAGTAAACAATCAAACATAGATCTGACCAACCCTAGACTGAACATTATCAATAATAATCCAGAATCTCCAGGTAATGAAATCAAAACAATTTAGATAAAAACAGAGAAATCTGGGAAATTTGTATTGTAAATTTTTTGAAATGTACATAATGCTTGTAAAGACAGATCAGCAATCATAAGCTAAGATTATCGAAAAAAATAAATTAATTCGTCAATCCTTGCATTTAATGCATTTATTCTCCCGGTACATTCTTCTTTTACTCGTTTTTTATTAATTCTCTTTTTTTTCTCACACGTTTAATTACCTTTTAAATGGCGAATCTGAGTTTTGAAAACTTTAGAATAAAATCCTTAATCCTTAATCCCTATAACTTAATCTGAGTATCCAATGGACGCACTTTTTCTTTAACCATTCCTTCTTAGATATAGTAAAGAAAAATAAAAAAATCGGGTTTTTAAAAATTATGGAGTTCCTCCCGTTTCTGTATATTAATCTTAAATGGCGCGCAAAATTTCAAATATATCGGCTTCTTATTCGCGACTCTGATGGGTTGAATTTGATACACTTACACTTTTCAGGATCTTGATATCCACCATTCCAAGGTTTTCAGCTCAGATCTAACAAATAATATTGTAGGAAGTGTTCTGAGTCCTAGTTCTAATTTGTCCGCCAGTAAACCGCCGATATTCCCCGCCCCTGACCGCTCTTCCAACGGTTTCAAGTTCCAGCTCAAGAAATCCGGGGACTCCCCTCCGGGATTCATGAGGTCGGAGAGCAGCAGATCTGATACTGAACCTGCTCCATTTATTAAGGTAGGGAGGGAGGGGAGCTTGGTAGGACGGGATTTAAAACAAATAACATTTTTCCCGCAGTTGTGTAGCCTAAATCACTAAGGACAGCACTAGGACAAAGCTAGGACAATGCTAGGATAAGGCTAGGACAAAATTAGGACGATGCTAGGTCAAAATTAGGACAAGGCTAGGACTAGGCTAGGACTAGGCTAGGACAAGGCTAGGACAAGGCTAGGACAAGGCTAGGACAAGGCTTGGACAAGGCTAGGACAAGGTGATGACAAGGCCAGGACAAGACGAGGACAAGACTAGGACAGGGCGTCGAAAAATTATCGATGATTATAGGTTGTAATATCTGAATGATTTGTTAAGAAATAAAATGATTCTTTACGGTCCGAGTTGAGTCGTTTTTAAAAATTTTCTCCTTATAGACGCAACAGATAGAAGTAAGATTAGTGGCGATTACCATCGATAATTTTTCGCCGTTACCCACTTTCATTTTTGCGAACACTCCCTTTAAATATGCTTAATTATCTTTAATTAACTGATAAAACAATATGTATATAATATATATTATATATCTATATTTTAAAATCTAATTAAGGAGTTTAACGGCCTAGTTCGAAGAAGAAGTGGACAATTCAATCCAAACGAGGTAGCTCCGCCCAAACCCTTGCCACGCCCACATTCAGTATATAGGATGGAAGGGCAGATCAACCACAGGCAATCAATCAATCAATCAATCAAATTTGTATGTCGGTATTCTTTAAACCATTTTCGGATCAGTAACGTGGAAGAAATAATCGTTTTTCTTATATTATTATATTATTTCCTATTTTTTTCTGTTGCAGATATCAGCATTCAAAATATTCAAGTTGCAAAGTTTCAAAAAACATGGATATCTCAGCTGTTATATAAAACATTTATGGCTACCTGTGTTACTCAAACATGCCGCTCTAGAAATGAAGGAAAACACGACCTTAGTCCATTTAAGCGGAAAAGTTTGAATGACGCAGTGACGCACCGCCTAGAATTACTGAGATTTACCTAATTATTCCATATACGGAGACACAAGGAGAAACTAGAATTCTTCCGACCTTAGCCTATACCATTCATATATATGTATATATATATATATAATGAAAATGTTTATATTTTTTGGTTAACTAAAAATTCTTTGTGCTTTGCGACCTTTCTACTCTCCATGTTTGCGTGTAATAGATTTTCTTTTCTTCAACATTTATATCTTGTATTTAGTTTTATTTGTTCAAAATTGTTATAAAGCAAGTTAATTTTTCTTCCCACAAAAATAATTCTCAAGCTTGTTTTTTTGGAACACAATAGACTTTTCATAAACCTTTTATTCTGATGTAGCCTAGCAGAGCTTATAGGGCTTATTTAAACCTTTTAGGAACAGCCTGTAGCCAGAATAGTGCTGACATGAATTGTTTATACTTTATCACCCTGTAGCCATAATGGCGCTTACACGAACCTTTTATTCTTGATCACCCTGTAGACAGAGTAGCGCTGACAAATCTTTTATTCTTGATCACCCTGTTGGCAAAATAGCGCTGATATAAACCTTATTCTTGATCACCCTGTTGCCAAAATAGCGCTGATATAAACCATTTTATGCTTGATCACCCTTTTGCCAAAATAGCGCTGACATGCACCTTTTATTCTTGCACACCCTGTAGCCAGAATAGCGGTGACATAAACCTTTTATTCTTGATCACCCTGTTGCCAAAGTAGCGCTGACATGCACCTTTTATTCTAAAACATCCTGTTACCAGAATAGCGGTGACATTAAACTTTTATTCTTGGAACACCCTGTAGCCAAAATAGTGCAAACATTACCCTTTTATTCTCGATTACCCTGTAGACAGAATAGCGCTGACATGCACCATTTATTCTTGAACACCCTGTAACCAGTATAGCGCTGACATTAACCTGTTTTTGCTTTAATTTGCTGAGATTTCTTGCTTCTTGACCTTGAGGGATAAAAAGGAAGCGTTTTACAAATTCTACTCATTCTGCTCATTCTGCTAACTAGTACAAGAACTTGGATAAAACCTAGAGGAGAAGGTTTTATGCAACCCAGAGTGGGAGGAGAAGGATTGGGTTTAGATTGGTTCGACATAGAGATATGGAGAGGAGGCTGATATTTGATCTTAAATTGAAATTGGATACTGGATACTGGATAGTAATTACCAACTAAATAGAGTTCGGATACTGGTGAATATAGTTCGAATACTGGATATAGTTCGGATACTGGATAGAGCTTGGATACTGGATATAGTTCGGATACTGGATATAGTTCGGATACTGGATATAGTTCGGATACTGGATAGGGTTCGGATAATAGATAAAGTTCGAATACTGGATAGGGTTCGGATACTAGATAAAGTTCGGATACTGAATATAGTTCGGGTACTAGATAAAGTTCAGATACTAGATAGAGTTCGGATACTGTATGTTTAATAAAAATTGGATACATTATAATCAGTTGATCAATATTTAAATTTTATGGATTTTATTTTGATCTACACGGATAGATATTTAAGTTATTTTAAAATGAACATGGGATCTATTTGAAGATTGAGAACATTGAAATAGCTGCTGACTGCTGGGATAAAAAATTGTGCACTAAATTCGGTGCTCTAAGTTAAGACTTATATAAATTTTTTAACTGATCAATTATTGGTTGATTGTTCCTCAGAGGATCTGAGATAGATTCTGTCAATCCGGTCTCGGAGAAGGAACGGAGAAAGTCGGATTTCCTGTCACATTACGAGGTAGGATCCAAAGAAACAAATGCATTATTTTTTCGTCGTAAATTGTAGAAAAACAACTTGTGAAACAGCAGATTTTTCCTTTTAATGGATTTGCATTTTTTTAATATCTACAAAATATAAACTTGTCTTGTGAGGTCATGCAACATTTGGTTTAGTCTTTATTTAAATATTAATACATAATGTAATGCATCACGAATTTTATAATTAAGTCTGGTTGGTTACTGAACATTTTTTTCGTAGGAACTAACTTGTCGGGCTGCAATGGCGATTAAGACGGTTGATTTGTTTGTAAGGGAACCGTCAACGGTTGGGACCCCATTACCCTCCCCAGGAACCTATCTACCCTCCCCGTTATCCTCCACCTCCTGCCTCCCCTCCCCCCTCTCCCCAGGGGTTGAGTCCGTTGAGTTTAATGAGGAGGAGGTGCTCAAGACCTGTCAGGTATTCTTACTTTAATGGGACTTCATTTTCTGCGAATATTACACTTAAGTAATAACGGTTGGTGTTCTTAAACCAGACAATTTTTTTTCTCATCTTTTGTTGTTTCTTTTTAGTCTTAAAGATGAATTTTTAAAGGAAGGAACGTAGAGCTTTTGATTAAAAACTTCAAAGAATGTTTTTAACCTTTTTAATATAAACAAGGAAATTAATAATGATGTTTTTGATATAGGATTTTCTTGTTGATTATAACAAGGCAAAACAACAAGGTTCTCCGACCTCGACACGACCTGGATATTCTCCGACCCATCCTTCATCTGTTCCCGGAGATACATCATCCCGTCCTACTCCCATCCCTGCTCCGCGGTTCAGTATATCACACTCCCGGAGTCAGTCTAGTCCCGGGAGATCCTTGAGTCAACCCAACCCAACCCGTCCCATCAGCCAACTCAGTCAGGAGGATGAACTACTCTTAGAGGCAGCACAGGTAGTTCTAATTTATTCTGAACTAGAAACTTGGATTTCCTTAATTTGGTTCGCTTAATCTCAATATCCACTTTGGACCCTTATGATTTTCTGCTTAATCCTCTCTTTTGGTGCTGGAATCCGACCAATGAGAGTTCTTAATAAAGTCTGATTTAAAAAAAAGCTGAATTAATAAATGGACAAGTATTAAGGAACTCTTGACGGAATTTCAGGAGACACTCCATTTTAAAAAGAGGGGCATGGCTGATCCACAATGGTTTCCGTAAATCCGTCGTCATAAGAAAATATGATGAAGATATCCTAGTTTCTCTATCTTTAAATTGATTATATCCAATTACAGTTTCTCTAAAAAAAATTGACAAAAGAGAGAGCAGGTTGCTTCTTATCTAGGTTTGAATACGACGAACCGGGCGTGCAATTTTTCATGGGGGGGGGGGATTTGAAATTACTCCAACTGTTCCTTTAAGATCAAATCTGAAAACTAAGACAGGCCTTGTAGCTACAAGAATAAGATCTCTCTGATTTTGTGAGAAATGCGAAATTTGAATTCTAAGAAAATCCCGCCCGCACAAAATCATATTTGGAACCGGTAAATTGTAGATTGATCAATTTCAATACAAAGAAAGAAGCCTTTGTGTCTTACAAGAGGGGGCTATATCCCCCCCCCCTCATTCCACTTTCTCCGCTAAAAGTTACATTTTATCTTGTAATCTGATACCTCGGATACAGATTTCAAATGTCATCCTTTTGTTTATGTTCTTTCATGCCTTATTTGTGCATAAATTTAAATACGGGAGATGGATTTATTTATTAGAAAATTAATTACAGACTTTATTTGCGTGTGCGAAGAATAACTTTTCTTAATGGAATTTGGAAGACTAGCCTTAGAGGGCGCTTCGCGCCCATCTTCTAAATTAATTGTGAACATGTTCTCTTTGTGTACATCGTAAAACAAAACAAAATAATTCGCGGATTTTCACAAAAAATTTCGTGGATTTTCAAAATTTTCAAAAATTTAATGAAGATCGAATTTTGATGGAGACAAATATTTGAAATTTTGATCATGCATAAACCTTCCCTGTGGTCTCGTGATGTCCCACAAAAAATTTGGGCCCGATCGGTTCAGCCGTTTTGACGTTTATTGGATACAAACAAACAGACAAGCCAAATTTATATATAGATTAAAAAATATAGAGAAAAGTAATAGAATATAGCCAATATATATTTATATTTATATCTGTTTTGGCTAAAGATTTAACCTTTGCAAAATATATTTAAATTTTGCGTCTAGTTCCTGTAAGAAGATACTGTAGATGATGCGCGTGGGTTTTCTACGCATATTTGACCTTTACCTGTGACGTCATTCTGCGTCAGAAAGGCCTAAAAAGAAAGAAAGAAGCTGGAAAGATTTGTACTGCAATCTTTATCTTCAACTCCCCCCCCCCCCAAACAAAACAAAAAATGTTAACAAGGATAAGCTTGTTTACATTTATTCCACAAATTGCAGTTTACTTTTTAGTGTGGGTTCCTTGTCAGTTTATTCCTTGGCTATATATCCAGATATCCTTCAGCATATTAATTAGCATATTTGCTCCGCTTTAATCAGACTGGAAACGATAAATCGCAACGTTTTTAGTCTTGTTGACGTAGATGTGCAAATTGAAACTGCAAATTTATCTTTTTATTTAATCTGCATGAAAATCATACAAGGTACCCCACTTACAACGACATTAGTGACAAACTTTAAAGATCGTCTTCGATATCCTTAAATGTGGTCCGTCATTTTTGTCATTTCATATTTACCATAGACTTAGTTCGTTTTATTATAAAACTTAAATTTTCGTAGATTTTTTCTGTTAAAATAATAAGTGTTGACATTTTTTTCCGGGCCAATTTTGTTTACTTTGACGGCCAATAATGCGTCCATTGGGTCATGTGAGTTGACCCAAAAAATTAAGAGCCGATCAGTTAAGAGTTATTTGACGTTTATTGTTATAAAGTATAAGTTGGGCAACCTTCTTATTTTGAATTCAGTAATCAGTGATCATCCTTGATTAAATAATGTCGTCTCTCAATGGTCTTGTTTAATGCGAAACCCTGAAAGTAAAATGTAAATAGCTATTTATTTATTTTGTTTTAGATGAAGGGCCCGGCGTTGTCCGTCGGGAAAAAAAATTGAAGAAAAAAATTTTCCGATTTTTTAACATAAAACACCCCCCGGCCACCCCTGAGTGTCCTCAAAAAGTTTCAACCCATTCGGTCCAGCCGTTTGGCTATGGGCAACATATATAAATATATACGAATGCCTTGTTTTATTATATAGATTTTTCATAAAATCCCTTTAATCTAGTTTTATTTGTTATGTGACCAATATCGGACTAATAATAATAAAGCTAATTTTCAATCGAAATCATATATTTTAAATACTTACAATTGTGTTATAAAAAAAGAGGGGGGGGGGGGTTATAATTTTACCCCTATAGTAGCGCCTTTTCGATTTGTGCAATGTGTATTTTAACTATTTTTTTTTTTAATTTGGTTTTTGTTTAACTGCCTGAAGCTAAACGATATCAACCGCCAATATAAATTTCAAAGGGGTGCTTTCATGGTGTATTCTACGGTAGTAAAAATCAAACCAAATTCATGCTTAACTATTTTCTATGGGAGTTTTGGATAAATAGTCAGAAAGTTATAAAGTTAGATAGATAGATAGAAAAAAAGAAAGAAGGATGGATAGATACCTCTGATTTGATAAGAGTTGGCGCAAGAAATGAAATGTAAAAATCCGCGAAAACTGTGCAGTCTTCAGTCTTCAGTTAGTCCACACAGGGAAAGCAGCGGGAATTCTAAAAATGAATAAAGATTTAGTTTAACTGATTTAAATAAATAATCTGCCGGGAATTCCTTCAAAAATGCGGGAAATGCTCGAGTAAAAACTCGCAAATTCTTATAAACAGTGTAAGTTCTTGTTACATTCATGGGCCGCCCCAACAAAGAATGGTTCTTGTTGACAAAGAGATAAATGTTGGACTGTTTAGAACAATGAAATGTTAAGTTGTCAGGACACCATCGCTTCATATCGAAATGTGTGAAAAGGGTGTATATATATATATATATATATGGAAAAGTGTCTGTGTTTTTAAACCTCGCCCTATTGTTTTTGTTTAAAGGGACTGATGAGGTTATTTCAAGTAAATCTTCAATTACAAAGTGTCTGATCATAGATAAATGAAACAATTGTTAATATTTCTCTAGAAAGTGAATTGCGGATTTACGCATTGAAGACGAGAGAGAAAATGTCATAATTTACCTTTCTTAATTAAAATCCCCCTCCTAGAAATAAAAACTTTCTCAAGAATTTCTACGGTTGGAAACAATCCATGGAATTTTAAATCATCGCTCTAATTTAAAAAAACCTTTTCTAGATTTTGATTTTAAAATTAAGGGTAAGAACAAATCAATTTCTTTTAACTTTAGAAAACTTTTATTGAAACTCTTAAAATTAAAACCTGTGAACAAATCAATGGAAAGCTTCTTTTCAAAGAGGGGCATGTAAAATTCACAATGGTAAAGAAGATATTTTTTTTGCCTCAAAGTGTTTTATTCTGATAATTTCTAAGGAAGAAATGCGCAGGACACTGCATAGAGAAACAACCATTTCAAATAGTCGATTTTCAAGTTGATGAATATCTAACAAACTTTTAATCGTTATGTAATAATTTAAAAAAAACTAATTCTGAAAACGTATCCACCCCCAAAGTAGGAGTTTTGAACGTCGAATTTGCGCTCAAACTCAGGATTTACAGATCTTTAATAAGCGTAATATGTCTCAAATGAATCCCAAAGAAGTTTTTCGCAACACTGCATACTCCGTTCAACTACCTTACATAGCCGGGCACTCCCTTTAATTGGAGAGTCACTTCCCTTTGATGGGTAATTATTTAGTCTTATTCTTGCGTAACTTTCTTGTTTTCAGGGCAAACAGTTTTGGGAAAGCGGAGATATTGAGAAAACGTTCAGAGCTCGGTCGTCTTCATTCTCAATGCCGGATAGGTCGTCTTCCTTTTTAGAGGCACAGCACAACTCCGAGACGTCGTCTGCAAAATTAAGGTAGGGCACTGTCTAATCTATTATTATTGTTAAAACAGGTTCATGTCTAGTTTAATTTTATAAATGGGTTTGGTTTATGGTATACTGCAGGGGTTACCTACAAAAGATAAGACTTTAAATGACGACCTAAAACTCTCAAAATTTGACGATCTGCGGCTCGAATTTTGTTTCTGCCTTAGACAAAAACTCGAATGTTGTAAGCTAACTGATTTATTTACCATAGATAGAAGAAACTTAAGTTGCAGGAAGCCTTTCAGTCTTTCTTTATTTATACTAGCTTGGGAACTCAGCTTTGCCTTGGATATAACTTTCGCCTGGAAGGTCAACCCACTCTAACTTAAAGTTTTTCAACATAGCTAAGCTCATTCCCTCGGTTCTACCAAAGTGCCGAATCAAAATTTTAGACAAATCAATCCAGGGGTTTATTGTAGAACATACCAACAAACAGAAAAACAGACAGACAAAGAGAGATTACCACTTTACATATATAGATAAGGATTAGCCACAAAGATGAAGCTTTAGAGACGACTGTACAGAATTAATTCTGGTTTCCTGCAGCAGTATGTTTGTTTCTTTCTTTGCTTAAACAATTTGTTAAAACAATACAAAACAAAATTAAATTTTCATATTGTTTAATTATCTAATGAGACACAGATCGTCCTTTAAGTCTCATTTATTGCTGATAAACCTGTACCGTGTAAACATTATGAACCTCTTCCCACTTATTATTCTTCTGTACTATTGGATATTTTTCTAAAAGTCACCCCCCCCCCTCTTTTTATCACCTCTCTAAATTGTTAAATGTTTGATATCTTTTGGGAAATTTACTTGATGCCGCCCATCCTTCCCTCTACAGGAAAGTTAAGAGATTTATACCTTAGAAAGGCCGGATTTTCAAGACCAATTTTACCTGTAAAGCATCCAAACAAAGTTTAGTACAATTTCATCGGCTTCTAAAATGAAAATCCGAATTTTTTTATACTAAAACTTTGAGTAGTGGGATGTCATTTACTTAATTATCTCAAGGGACAATTAATCAACATAAAATCCCGTCAATTTGGTAAAATAACTGTAAATCTGTTATAGACCTATTCTGAAGAAGAGTACAGAGGACTTGTCCTACACTGCACATGCTGTACATACAGTACACAGTGCCCCCAGCAACCCCAACTCTACAATTAGTATTCTAAAGAACCGGGATGATATCTTCGGGAAGGGGAAGCGAAGGTCTGCTGGGGAGGACGGGAAGGGGGAGCATGTAAGGATCCGCTCCCCCTCCCCTAACAGCCGAGGGGAGCATGTTAGAATCAGATCACCGTCTCCGGATTCGTCCGACGAGCCGCGGACGAGTCATCGTAGTCGGAACAGTTCGTTTGGAGACGACAGATCAGATTCCGAGATTCCGTCTATACTAAAGAGAAGAGCAAGTGCAGATGATTTTATGCTAGATGTAAGTAAATCCTGTTTATTGGCGGGAAGGGGATAATTTCAAATATTGCCAATTATTGCTCCCAAAACTCCTAATAATGTAATTCATTAAAATTATATAATTTGGTATCTTTTTGGTGCACATTGTTTTTATTCTATGTACACAATATATTTTAATGATTCTGATGTAAACAGGGAAAACCAAAAAACTCTTAAATAGAAAGACTACTTTTAGACTCAAGTTATGACTAATCATTTAATAAGTGATTAAATAAGTTACTATTAAAACTATTTACTTTTTAACAGCATCAAATACACTTTATTAATGCTTTAATGTCGTCTTCCTATTCCGCAGTTTTCTGTTACGTTCTCAATATGAATTAAGTAAATCTTTTCTGATGTTCATCTGAGTAATTCCTCTTTTTTTAATCTGATTAAATGTACATACTGAGTAATTACACTAGTTTATAACCTGATCTTATATAAACAGACTGAGTAATTTCACTAGTTTATAACCTGATCTTATGTAAACAGACTGAGCAATTACACTAGTTTATAATAACCTTATCTTATGTACAGACTGAGTAATTACACTAGTTTATAATTGATCTTTTGTACAGACTGCGTAGTTACTCTAGTTTATAACCTGGTCTTATGTACAGACTGAGGAACAAACAAGAAAAAATGTTATGTACCATTTTTCAGGCTGAGTACAATCAGGCCTCCCCTGAGAAGGCGAGTATACTGAAGAGAAAAGCAAGTTTCGGCAGCACGTACAGTACATACAGTGGCAGTCATAGTCCAGACCCGGGCACAGAGGGAACCAGGTACAACGTATTTGTGGTTAATAGTTTTCAAGTCTTTAAAGGGACTGATCGTCGTAATTATCAAGTGACTCTTCATTTATAGAATGGTATATCCGATTAACAACCGCAAACAGGAGTAAAATAGTTATGTATTATTCTTACAATTGTGAAATCTCTATGACGATATCTTCTACATCATTGATGGTTTAAAGGATACTGTTGTGAATCGGGTATGCTCCTCTTGAAATGACACCAATGTCCGACAGTCCCTTTAATGATATTTGATCAGAGCTGCGAACTTTATAATGATGGATATCGAGATCAATGCTTGATCCTCTCTTATTCTTAATCTCGAGACTAACCTAATCTTGTACTTGTATCCTGAAAAGTGTATAAAATCAAACAATCAGAGTCGCGTATCAGAAGCCGGGAATTTTTGCGCGCCATTTAAGATTAATATACAGAAACGGGATGGACTCTCTCATTTTGAAAAACCGGTTTTTGATTTTTCTGTACTATATCCAAAAAAGAGCGGATTAAGCAAGAAATCAAAAGTGTTCACATTGGATATTTTAATTAAGCAGTTGGGATTAAAGGTTTCCCATTCTAAAGTTCCCAGCTCAGCATTGTTACTAGAAGCAATTTTCTGTGAAGGAAATAAGAATATTTTGTTTAAAAAGAATCATAATTATAGTTGTTCTCGTTCTTAATAACTGTGAATGTTTTCTCTAAATTAATCTTGATCTTGTTGGATATCTATCTACAGGGTGACTTACAAAGGATGAGACTGTAAAGACTACCTTAATGACAATTTATTTTGGTTTCCTGCCTCAAATATACACTTTTAATGGCATATTTGATGATTATGCTAAGGAAGAAACAATTTCACAGGGAACCTCGACTGAAAGAACAAAGTCGGATTAAACTCCGTTTAGTCGTTTCTGAAGTCTCATCTTTTGTGGCTAACCCTGTAGAGTGTAGAAGTAGTTTAACCTAGTTAGACTTAACTAAGCTTTCCAGGTTTTTTCATTTTTTTGGAATTCTAGAAATTATTTGTTTGTTTTCCCACAAACATGTTTTCATCTTCTTTTATCACTAAATTTATTTCCCTTTTCTTTTCTTCAATTTAGCTCAGCTTGTGAATTATGATCTAGCATGGGTGGAATTATGATTTAGTGTTGGGGAATTTTGATTAAGGTTAAGAGGAATTTTTGAGATTTTAAAATTTTACTGTGGGAATTTTGAGAATAGATAAAAGGTGAATTTTTATTAGGAATGGTGAAATTTCGATTATTTGGGATAATAGAATTTCGCTTTCGGAAGAGTGAATTTCGATTTAGGTTTTTTTTTTTGGGGGGGGGGAGGAGAGAAATTCAATTTAGAGAGCGGGTTTATTTTTTTGGGAAGTGAAAATTTCGATTAAGAGAGGGGGTTTTTCATTTTTTTGGGAAGTGAGAATTTCAATTTGGGAAAGAGGAATTTCTTTTATTTTGGTAAAAGGGAAGTTCGATTGAGAATAAAATTTTGGTTATGTAGGAAGGAAAGAGAAATATTCATTTAATCTATGCTGAAGAAAATAGATCTCATACTAATATATATTAGTATCTATACTGAAGAAAAGTAGCAGAACTTGTAGCAGATCTCAAACTAATATTTATATTACGACTGAAGAGAAGTAGCAGAACTTGTAGCAGATCTAATACTAAATATTACGATCTATACTGAAGAAAATTAGTAGAAAAAGTAGCAGAACTTGTAGCAGATCTAATACTAATATATATTACTATCTATACTGAAGAAAAGTAGCAGAACTTGTAGCTGATCTCAAACTAATATATATTAGGATCTATACTTAAGAAAAGTAGCAGAACTTGTAGCAGATCTAATAGTAAATTTTACGATCTATACTGAAGAAAATTAGTAGAAACAGAGCAGAACTTGTAGCAGATCTAATACTAAATATTAAGATCTATACTGAAGAAAATTAGTAGAAACAGAGCAGAACCTGTAGCAGATCTAATACTAATATATATTACTATCTATACTGAAGAAAAGTAGCAGAACTTGTAGCAGATCTCAAACTAATATATATTACGATCTATACTGAAGAAAAGTAGCAGAACTTGTAGCAGATCTAATAGTAAATTTTACGATCCATACTGAAGAAAATTAGTAGAAACAGTAGCAGAACTTGTAGAAGATCTAATGCTAATATATATTTAGATCTATACTGAAGAAAAGTAGCAGAAACAGTAGCAGAACTTGTATCACATCTAATACAAATATATATTTAGATCTATACTGAAGAAAAGTAGTAGAAACAGTAGCAGAACTTGTAGCAGATCTAATACTAATATATATTTAGATCTATACTGAAGAAAAGTAGCAGAAACAGTAGCAGAACTTGTAGCAGATCTGCCAGTTTTGAAGACCTAGACGTAGAAGGTAAGATAAGAAATTATGGAGTCTACTCTATTTAATAGTATTGCCACACTTTAATCAAATTTTTGTCGTAAAATATTAATCTACTTTATTAATTATGAATTTACTCCCTATGAATCTACACCCTATTAATCTACACTCTGTAAATTTACTCCCTATTAATCTACTCCCTATGATCTAGTCATCTACTCCCTGGCCTATTAATGTACTCCCTATTAATGTACCACCATTAATCTACTCCATAATCTACTCAACAATAATCTACTCCCTATTAAGGAACAAAATCAATCCTGAAATCTCGCAACAGCAGTAGAACCTGCAGTAGATCTGGGTCCCAGGAGGAGCTTGACCTAGACCTGGATGAGGAGGAGGAGGAGTGGATGGAACCTAAACCTAAATCCATCCTCAAGAAGAAACAGTGGAGCACAGATGATGAGCTGGATGATAGATCTGATAGACCTAAATCTATTCTCAAATCTCGGAGGTCGGAGGAATCAATATCTCCGTCATTAAAATCTCGGAGGTCGGAGGAGTCAATATCTCCGGTTGGTGAGCCTCTGGGGGCACAGGAGAACTCAAGGTAATGATCATAATAGATGATAGTTTAGTGTTTTCGTTCCTAAAAACTTTACTTTTCATAACTTTTTAAAGAACATTCTTGCTTACTGGAGATTTCAAAAATGTACACTTAAAGACTAATCTGAGAAAAGAATTAAAATGAAAATGTTCGTAAAAAAAAGATTTGCCTTATGCTAACCTCCCCTCTAGCTCTCGCAACTTTACCCTTTTATCTATACAATGCAGAGAAAAAAAAGATTTAAAAATATTAAAAGATTTAGAATAATGACGTAGCATGAGTTTTAAATCCAGGTCTCAAATAGTCACTCATAAAACAAGATGAAGAAAAATTTCCGTCTGTATGGCTTGAAGGGGGGGGGGGTGTTTTAAAAATGATTCTGACTACAGCAATAATTGTTGTTTGCCACTTCTTAATAAAGAAATCAAAGAAATGTTATTGCTTCCAATGGTTCCCTCGACCAATTATTCCTTATAAATATCCAAAGCATAGTAAAGGATGTTTTGCTGACCAAATTGGTCGAGAGAATCTTTTTTCCCTACAAAGTAACATATCAATTTTATCGCCTTGAAAATTGAGTGAAAGTTAAAAATTTCTAAAAGAACGTTTGTAGAACGAATTGTTATACTACATAATCGTCCCAAGTTAAAAGTAACTTAACACCTTGTAGTAATAGTACTACTGTAATGGGAGGATCATGTTTGATTAATGTTTGTCATAAGAGAGTAAACGAACAAAAATTGTAAGAATTCAACATTCAACAAAAAAAAATTCGATTTCAGTTTGTAAATTCTCAATCAACTCCTTAGTTACAGATTATGTAATATTACATTTATACTGATGTAAATTACCTTTCTTTTATTTCAATATATCATTTTTATTCTTGTCTTTTTTATATTTAAGATGTTCTTTGCAGTTTTATTTATAACTAGCAGAAGGGATCGGCGTTCCCCTTGGGAAAAAAATAAAAAAAAAAATTGAAAAAAATCACATTGTTTTAGCCTTATATACCCCCCGGCCACCCATGAGTTTCCTCAAAAAAATTTCGCCCATTAGATCCAGCCGTTTGGCCGGCTATTCGTGACATAAATACGAATGCCTTGTTTTATTATATAGGTTGCTTCAGTTCAGAACAAAATCTTGTTGTCAGACACAAGTATTTTTGTCCAATCAATGTTAATTAATTCCTATTTGCTCTTGTATCTACACTTGACTAAAAACATAAAAGATTAGTTTTTTATTTGAAATTAATAATTTATTTCAATTAATAAATTTTAGGAGTGGAAGCGCCAGACGGTATTCAAGACATTCATCTCTACAATCTGATACAGAGGAACAGTCAGGTAGTTTTGATTCATCTCTACAATCTGATACAGAGGAACAGTCAGGTAGTTTTAATTCATCTCTACAATCTGATAGAGAGGAACAGTCAGGTAGTTTTAATTCATTTATTTATTAATTCGTTGATTCAATAATTCGTAGATTCATTGTTTTTATTTATTTATTTATTATTTTATTTATCGCTTCATTCATTCATGCTTTTCAACTTTCCTTTCATTTATTTATTTTTTAGTTTTTTTTCCCTTGACATTCATCCTTTTATTTAGAAGTAGTTAAGCTTGCCATAACTGGTTGAACTACGTCTCCCAATTTATCAAAACCGACCTCTGATATATTCAGTTAAAATGATCTTACTAATTTTTCTCGAGTAATCTATCTTTTATTCCATTATAGGAATAAAATAAAAGATATATTAAATAATTATTGATAAATATTGTTTAGGACGTACTTCTCCTGTAGTTCAGTTCCCCTCCCTCTCCTCCTCTATCCCGGAGCATACTAGTAGTATCCGTCCCATCCTTAAACATAGAGATGATACTCTTCATGGAATACTAAAGCACAGAGAGAAATCCTCCTCCCCTGTCCTTGAACCCGTGACTGACCAGGGACCTGGAGACTGGACCGGATCCGGGTTTGATGCAACTAAATTTACAACTAATTATTGTCGGACTGATCCAGGACCTGGAGATGAGCATGTTCTTGAACCCCAAAGAGGAGGACATGATGAAGGAAGAGCTGGGGTTTTCAACAGATTCAGATCTTGTAGTCCACCAGTCTCAGAGTCATCTCGTCTTTTCCCATCACATAGTTGCTCACCAAGGCGTGGATCCCCGCCCCTCAGAAGAATGGAGGGATTGGAGGGAACGCCTCTGAGAATCCTGGAGAGGCGGGACAGAACGCCCCCTCTGGGTGATGAAGATGAGGTGCTTTGTATTGAAGAACATCTCTCAGATAATGGAGAAGGTAAGACGGTTAATATTGGATTAGGTTTAGGACACTTCCACGAACCCATATCCACCATATCCGCAAACCTTATGTATCCTAAATTCTAATCCGCCAAAATATGGGAGAATCCTCGGATCAGGTTCTTGTAAAAACATCAACTTTATTTAGATTATTTTCAAAACAAAACTATCAATTTGACATGCATGTAAAAGTATTCTCATGGTGTCAAGTTTCTCCCACAGTATTGGAAATCTTCAGTGAAACCTACCACACAATAATAAGTAAAATGAATATTTATCATCTGATAATGGTATATGGTGTAACCAATTACCATCTAATAACAATAATATTAATTAGAACTAACTGTGTTTAACTGGAAAGTCGTGTATAAGTAATTTCAACTTTACTCAGATTATGTTTATTGAACCTAAGGTCGGATTTATTGAATATATGGATGATAAAAAGTTTAACTAGGTAACCTAGTTCAGCTTGCTCAAGTGAAACTTTTTATTTTTAGTTCATCTTCTAGTAGCTGTAAATTAAATTCGACCTCTTGTGATTGAAATTAATCTATGAGCGAGGAAATAGAACTAAGTGTTTAAACTACTTCTTCTGCGCTTCAATCTTAACTCAAACCAGTAGTTGAACCAGTTGAACCTATTTATGTACAGTCATAATCACCGGGAATTAATTGACAGTTAATCAAACGACTATTACTGGCAATTTTAACAGCTCAAAAAAGACAGACCACATTTTGGAAATGGCAGGACTAGGGCTATTTTGTGATTATCGTTTTAACAATCATATTTGTAAAATTATATTGTAAAGTCGTCTGATTAATTGTAAATTAATTCCCGGTTTTTCTGATTAGGACTGCAGTTACTTTTCAACTACATGGTTACCCACAAAGGTCCAAAAATGAGATTTCAGAGAAGACTGAACGAATTTTATGCTGCCTGTGTCTTCATTATCATGATTCATTTATTATCATGATTAAAAGACTGTGAATCAAAACCAGAAGACTTAACTTAACCTTGGGATCGTCATATTCAAAGAATGTTAGGTCGTCTTCACAGTCTCATTCTTTTTGGGTAACCCTGTAACCCTGTAACTTCCAACTCTGATTGTATTTACACCTAGATCTTAATCTGACCTCAACCCTGAATACTTTTTATTCATCTCTTCCTCCGCTTAGTTGGCGGAATTCTAGTTGCATTTATTACATTCCAATCTTATTCAAACTTTTTATCCCCCCCCCCCTCCTTCAGCAACATGTCGAGATAAGGCTGGGTATTGTTTTTGAGCCCTATCAAGCATTTCAGCTTTACTATTTTAATATTCTATAAATCTCTAGCACAAGCACTTCATAATTTATATTCGTATAGGTTGCGTGATTTAAATTTGAAGAATTAAAAGTTGAAAATATAAAAATCAGTATTGCAATTAGAAAACTTTTTTGCAAAAAAAATATATTTGCACATCGCACCACCCAACCTTCTTTTTCTAAAACCCAATGCACAAACATATATATTTTATAAAACCTTGTTGACCGCATTTTAAAAAACGGAAACATTTTCTGGGGGGGGGGGGTGGGAACCCTATTTTGTCAAGCAAGGATGCCCATCCCTGACAACCGCCTCTGCTTGGCATTTGTGTATTCATGCAATCAACATTTATAATGATGCAGAAATGCCTGGCACGTGCAAACTGCACAGTATAATTAGGGGCAATTAATCTACACTGCTGGATAATTAACATTTAAGTGAATTGTTCAACAAATCAGTTTTTCCCCAACTAGCTTTTATATATTTTTTATTGCTTAAATCATTGCAAAACTTCCAAATAAAATTAAATATCGAGTTTAATGATTGGAATAAAAGAATTTTCTTTTGAAGATGATATCTGTGTATACTGTTAGCAACAGAAGCAGGATTAAAGTTTGTGGGAGGAATTTTAAAATTCAGTGGATATCCCTCTTAGGTTCTGCAGATTACTTGTTCAGTAATTCTTGGGAAGTGGAGACCATAATGTAATTTGAAGAGATTGATATAAAAAAATATTAAATCTGATTACCATTATTATTTTCAGTTCCATTTGGTTGAATCATAATGTTAGAAATATTCTTAAGAACTGAAGAATGATCAACCCAGACCGGATTTTGTCTTTGATACATACTCAAATTTTCTAATCCTAATACTGATGGTTGAAACTTTTGATAGTTTAATTTTCAAACTTAGATTATTTGATCTAACAGAATTCTTGGTTTGAAATATCTAATGGAAAGGGATTGGAAAATCAGAGTTTGTGGCAAAAACTCAATTTCTTCTTAACTTTATTGTGGTTTGATCTGACACTAAGTTTTAAATCTAATAACCTGTGTTCTAGGCGTGGAAAGATCCAGGTTTTATGAGAGAAAACTCAGTTTGGCGGAAAGAGTTAAAATCTTTGATTCTTTGTCAGCAGCCGGGCCGAATATGTCAGCTGATTCAGCTGGGCAGATAATTTCAGCTGATGCCGCCTGGCAGAATATGTCCGCTGATGCTTCCGGGCAGAATATAGGTCGTCCTCCTCGTATTGGTGGTGCTACTGCTACAGGTTGGTATTTCAGACTAACTCTCCATCCCCGTGGCAGTCTTGGCAGAGACTGCATAATGCATAGATGGGGGGGAGGCTGAAAATAAAGGTACCGGATGTGAGACACTTATCTTAAGAAGTTTTAGGATAAACTTGCTTAAATACGAAATTTTATCATTCTAAACTAATTTTTCTAAATATCACTCTATTTGACCATTTTGGGATTTTATGACCATTAAGGCACATTCAACTATTCGAATTAAGTTAGAACCATTTTTAAAAATCATATAACATGGGTTAAACGATATTTGATAGGATTTTTGAGAATTTAGAGTGAAAATAAAAACTTTAAAAATAAGTGGAAAGCTTTTTTTTTATTAATCCTTTAGTGAGATTATGAGATGTTTGACTATCTAAAACAAAAGTCTAAAAATCTATTTTCAAATAAATCGTTCAATTTCAAACAATGTAAAATAATTTGCAAAATGGCAATACATTTATATAAACTCATGTGAGAGATGTCCAATAAAGTCTAAAATGTCCAGGAAACATTGGCCATGGAGAAAAATTATGTTAAAATCTAAGGAATTTGTCGAGGGTACCAGGGAGGGGTTGTGATTGGGTGGTTTCTGCTTCTCAAAAAAAAATTCTTCTATAATTTATAAAAGAATTAGTCATGAATTTAGAAAGGCTGTATTTATGCCAAGCTAACAGATTTATCAGAAATCTCGTTCAAGTCATGGTAGAAAGACCTGTTTCAGTGTAAACAAGTCCTGGTTTATTTTTTATATCATGATGCTTCAAGCACAGAAAGAGTGAAATAAAGTAGTACTAATAAACTCAAATTATGATTCGATCCTATTTACTCTTATTCTAAATTATTGTTCACAGAACATTTCACTTTTAGAAAATATTTTATTTTTTAAGGCTCTGTAGTTCGGAGGAGAAGAAAGCAGAACTCTAGGTTCCAGACCCAGCCTATAACTGTGGACGAGGTGGAGAAGGCAAGGAAGGGGTTCTTCTCCGACTCCAGCTCCAGAATATCACCACTGGGAGGACCAAGAACCTCGCCATTGTTTGCAATGCTCCGTCCTGTCTCTCTAGAGGAACTAGGTATTTCATTAAAAAATATTAATTAATCGTTTATATTATAAAACAATTCTGAACCAGACCTGGTTTTAAAAATTCATAATATAAGCACATCTCCAGCTTATTGTTAAAAAACTGTGTATGTAAGAAAGTGATTTATTTGTATCATGTTTTTAGTGTGACTTAAATTTGATATAATACTTTATAAATTGCAGCGGGGGATGTTGTTGTACCTCAGCCAAGAAGATATCTTCCAATACCCCGATCTACTCTTCCAGAATCTTCCAGTTCTAGCGGAAAATCTTCCACAAGTATTAGATTCTCTCCTTCCAAACCGTCCTTCTCCTCCAACCCTGGGAGCAGTAATACTGGAGAACCAGGACGGAGAAGTCGTCTTGTAACCTGTGTATCCGAAGGTTCACTGCTCACTAGAAACTCTTTATTTCGACCAGTGATCAGTCCCCCACCTAGAGACAGGTTCCAACCTTCTCCACCCAGGGGGCAGCCCTCTCCAGCCTTCTCCTCGGAGAACGTGAACTCGAGGTTGCAGAACCTGGATCCATCTCCTCCTCCTCTCTACACCAGATCTGCTTCCAGTCCTGTAGATCCGTCCACCCGGAGAGGGTTTAGTCCTTCTTCTGTCAGACGGAGTTCTCCGGTCTTCCAGAGACAAAACTCTAGTCCACACGTCAGATTAAACCAAATTCAGCCAAGTCTACAAAGACAGTCATCTAGTCCTCCAAGATTATTCCAGGTTAGACTTAACATTGAAAAAACGATCTTTTAGCCATCAGAATTTCCCAATATTTTGATTGGGTTTAAATAATCTGTTCATTTCACGATAATTTTAATACAGAATTTTTATGAATTGTTTTTAGAAAAGGGAAATGTACAAACTTTATTTTAGGTGTCTCCTCCCTCCACTACAACCTTCAGACAATCACCTCTTTACCATGAGGAACCTTCTAGTCTTTCACACTCTCTCTTCTCTCGCTCATCGGCGTTCCGTCCCGTTCCGACTGCGGAGAAATCTTCATCCGAACTTACTCCTGTGTCTGGTCCGATCCCGGTCCCTTCTCCTCGTCGTCTCAGCAGAGACGAATCCTGGAAGGACGGAGAGGATGAGGATCTGCAGAGTATTCTCAAGGTACGTGAGGAGCCTGTATCTCTGAGCTCCAGTAGAGCTACTGAACCAAGAATACCAAGGAGAAGTATACTCAAGAATGATTCTGTAGAAGAGTATGTTTCTTTAAACCGGAGATCTGTTGATCCTCCAGGGCGGAGTGTTCTCAAGAAGGATTCTAGTTATGATGGAGCCAGAGCTGTTTCCTCACCAAACCTCAACCGTAGCAATAGTAACAGCAGTGATGATGTTGGACTCTCCTTTACTGATGTCGTCATTGATCCAGTTCCAAGGACAGGAAGAAAATCTGCTCCAGAGGTAAAATCTAAAAACTTAATACATTAGAATTCCTTTTTATACATTGATATCTATAATAATAGCTTGAGAACCCAGCATAATACGGATACCTACCATACACCTTTCAGTATACGTGTATACTGTGAAATAGTGAGAAAAAGATAACTGTGTAATAGGAAGATTGAACCAATATTTGGGTGAATTTGATGTAATTGAAATAAATTTATTCGTAACTTATTGAATGACTTATTAAGTGAAATGGTTTTGTTTACACTGCACAATTGTTGTGTCTCATTATATCTCATTTATAATCTAATATCAAGTCTGAAAGTCGTCTTCCTATTCCAGTGTTCCGGTTATTACCTTTATCTATATTTAGACCCCTGTAAAGCGTGGAACTGGATCCCGTACTCCTGTAATCCCTAGATCCAGTATACGTATATCAGCGGATGGGGATCTAGCTGGAAAACTAGCTAAACTATCTACTCAGGTATTGAAACTAAATTCTAGAGTTTTCAACCGATGATACAGTGTTAACCACAATCATAGTAATTAATTTACCATGTGCAGTGACGAAAAGAAATTTAATAATTCTCAACTGCAACAAAACACTAATTTTAATCAAAATATGTTTATTTAAGAATTAACCAATCAATTAAAAAATATATATGTTAATTCAAAATCAAAGATAGAATGTTAATTTAAGAAAAAATATATCAATTAATAAAGGGGGGAATGCAGATGCAGAGAATAATATGTTTTAAGAAAAAAAGAATTGTTTTCAACAAATGATATTTTAAGAAATAGATATTCCATTTTAAATAAAAATTGATATGGAAAGAATGCTGAATGATGGGACAATTAAGTCATTTGAGAGAAAAACACGTAGGTTTTTAATAAGCATAGACCTTTCATAATTTCACAATTGTAGGTTTGGCAAAAAATAGAAAATAAGTTTTAAACAAATTCAAAACAAATATTTCATATCAAATAGATTATCAATTACAATAGGTGGCAACAGAGAAATGAACTTATTATACATTCACAAGTGTCTAATATAACAAGGAAGACAGCATTTTCTCCCAATATTTGACATTTGTTCCAAGATTAAGTAAAAAAGTGAAAAAAACCAGAAAATAAAAAACACAAAATTGCACTTATTTCACTGTAAGATAAGCACTTTGTTATCACTATTATTCATAATTTTGTCGGACACATAAAACTAAGTTGACACTTGTGACGTAAGAATACAATTGTACTGATAGTGTACAAATTCTCGTTGCCATCTATTCTACTAGATAATCTATTTGGTTTATATCTATTCTTATCTATTCTTAAGGCGGATAATATGAAACTGAAAATGAGCTTCGAGGATAAAACGGATCCTGAACACAGAGACTCAACACAGAGAAGGTAGGATAGCCAGGGACATTTTCTCTTTCTCATATTTCGGACCAGAGGTCGCAACTTTTTGTATTCTTTCAGGAAAAGCTAATCCGTATTTTTTTGGATCTGAAAATCTTCTAAAGCGATTGCAAAATTTTGAGACAAATGTTTTCAAGAATTAAATTCATTAAAATGTTTCCACTAAAAATATCGATATTTAAGATCTGTAGATTTATGCATCGATATCAAGATCTGTAGATTTATGCATCGATATCAAGATCTGTAGATTTATGCATTCTTATCAAAAGTTTCGATCGCATGAATTTTTTTTATGACAATTTGGACCAGATAGCAATAGATGTCATTGACATAAACACATTCAGATTAAGAAGTATTTCGTTTTTTTAAAACCCATTTGTATCTAATTTTTAATTATACAAGTGGTGAAAATTTTTGAATATTTGCCTGATCTTGGAAAATCCTTAAAAAATTTTGTTCTTAGAAATGAAGATTATTTGAATGATTATTGAAAAGCTAAATCTGTTTTCAAATCGGGTTGAATATAAGTATGCAATAAAGGAAGTTACGCAATTAATTTCATGACAGAAAGAAATTTAAAAACTTAGTCATAGAAACATTGTTTTACATCTTCGGCATTAAAGGGAGTGTTCGCGAAAAATGAAAGGGGGTATAGGTTTAATGCGATAAAAAAGCGCTTTTGATCGCTACTAATCTTACTTCTATCTGTTGCGTCTATAAGGAGAAAATTGTTAAAGACGTCTCATACCGAATAACATGTCGTCCATACAAATTGAGAAAATTGCAACATACGACTTAGACCGTAAAAAAATCCATTTAATTTCAAACAAATCATTCAGATATTACAACCTATAGTCATCGATTATCTTTCGCCACATTTGTATATATTTGATATTTCATACTAGTTTTGATTTTGTTTTTTAAAATAATATTTAGCTTACAACTTGTTTTCGAACATTCCTGGAAAATATGAAAATGTCGTCTTCATTACCAAAAATCCTCGAAACAGGAATAAATGTAACTCTCAGATCATAACAATTAAAACATATTATGAAAAATCATCTATATACAAATGTGGCGAAAGAAAATCGATGACTATAGTTTGTAATATCTGAATGATTTGTTTGAAATTAAATTGATTTTTTTACGGTCTAAGTCGTATGTTGCAATTTTCTCTATTTGTATGGACACTACGTTCTTCGGTATGAAACGTCTTTAGCAATTTTCTCCTTACAGACGCAACAGATAGAAGTAAGAGTAGTAGCGATCAAAAGCGCTTTTTTATCGCATTAAGCCTATACCCCCTTTCATTTTTCGCGAACACTCCCTTTAAAAACAACATTTTTTATTTTACATTAAAATGTATCAAAAATTAATTCTTACTATTTACACAAGTCACGATACAAACTTCCAGTTGCTGAACATTATCTATCTAGGTGTGATGGTATAAATTCAAGTAATATGATCCATTCCAGTTGATATATCACGCTAATTAAAGTTAGCTTACACCATAACAAACTAATGTTTTCACGCCGGGGTTACTCCCAGAAAACATTTATTCAAAAAATACAAATATATATTTTGTTATAAATTAAAACTTTAAATTTTTATCTAGCATGCTTTTAACATTTTCCAATAATATAGAGTATTATTAACAGATTAATCAGATTGAAGTTGTGGCATGCTTACTGCTCAATTCCGCAAAATTATCTCTAGTCTTCTTGCGTATAAAAAATTAACGCCCGAATTTTTCTCCAATGTACACTGTTAAGTACAATTAAAATGAACCTCTCAAATTTGACTTTAAAAAGTTAAAAGACAAGTTATTCAACAAAGTATATAAGAGTGAATGAAAACTTTTTTTAATTTGCTAGTTATGAACAAAAAATGTTAATAACGATGAAATTAGGCCAATTTTCCATATTCATTATATAGAATTAGAATTCGCCACTTACTGACCTAGCAATTAAAACCTGGGAGACACTGATTTTATTAGTTCCGAAGACTGTTTTGAAGAACAATATGCCGATGGTCTACGCCATAGTTCAACTATACTGACACATAACAAAGCAGTACAGTACATGCTGTACACGGCCCTAACCTAACCTTGTATCTGCAGGTGTACCAGTACAACTGGATCTCCTGTACACCTGGCTTTTAGCAAATATTAACTAAGGTACTGTAGTGTTGTTGTAGTTGTAGTGTTGTTGCATGCTGGAGCTGTTCTGTGGATTAGTCTGGTTTAGTTTGCTGTGCACTGTAAATACAGGGTGTCCCAATAAACGTGGGAATTAATAGACGAATTCGAAATCGCCTTTGTTAAGAATTAGGGTTGTTCTACCTAATGTCAATGGTCTAAATAATGTTACGTTTGCTAGAGTATATTTTATGTAAACGGTAAAAGACTGTTTAGTTATTGTGCAAAACGTTGTATGATGTTCCGTAACATTTCTGCAACAGTGAAGAGGAACAACTGTTCTGTATTCGGGAGTACTGCATGCATCTCTTTCCGAGTAGACATAACCAACCATACTAATTCAATCAATCATTTACAAAGACGATTTCAGAACCGTCACTGAATTCCCCGGTTTATTGGGACACCCTGTGCAAGACAAACATATTTAACCACGTCTCAAATTTTTAATCCTTTCACGGTTTACGTTTCTTTTCAAAACAATATTTTACTGTGATAACATAAAAATGATGTCAGCACGAATTGGGTTTCACAAATCTTGCAGTACGCCTTACATCAATCATTGCATGCTACTTGTATACACAACACAGTACATACCAAAAATGTTTTTTTCTTCAAAGAAAACCATTTCTTTTCGATGAGTATTTCAATCATGATTTTAAAAAAGTTCGTACTTTCATGTCACATAACTGCACATCACTAGGTCGCATAGAACCTGCTTCTATGTAAACAATGCATGGTTCACAAGCTGCACTTGGACAGTAGTAAAAATATCCGGTAACATATTAGAAATTCTAAAGATGTTGGTTCTTCTCAATAGTTTTAACAAGAGGAGTTAAGAACTTATGGTTAAAAATATTTAAAATTTCGATCTAGCGTGAAATTTTGTTTGACGTTTTTTAGATTTTTTAAAATTGTTTTGTCTTATTTTCTGATTTAGGACATTAGATTAGAGCTATCATGGAAACAAATTAAATCGACATTATTATTATTGTTTCCTTTCCAAAATATTTTATAATTAAATTTTATTTCATGATCACCCAGGTTTAAGTGTTTAAAAACATTATTAAGATTAAAACGTTCTTGTTTTATATCTACGATTTATCCCAAAAAAGAGAACCCTGATGGTTGATAAATCACATTATTAACACCTGTTCAGTGTAAAATAATGTTAGTTAAGTTTATATTATTTATCCCAAAAAAGAGAACCCTGATGGTTGATAAATCACATTATTAACACCTGTCCTGTGTATTAATAATGTTAGTTAAGTTTGAACTGGTGTTAATGTCTATTCAAATATCAAGTTGCACCAGAACAGATTCAGCCTGGGAAACTTATATAATTTAAGCAGTGTAATTAAAACTATATAAATTTGGCAATAATTATGTAAATTCTTATAATTATTATTTAAAAAAATATTATCTATTTATGTCATTGTAATGGCTATTATTAAGTGCGAAAAAGTTTTTGCCGGGATTTTTATTTTTTCTAGTTTGTTTAAAAAAAAGTATTATCACACCTCACTACGTTCGGTGTGAAAATACTTTCATTTTGATCGAAAACGAACTAGAAAAATTAAAAATCTCAGCAAAAACTTTCAGTACATGTATAGTTTCTTTCAGTTTAACTTAAACTATTTAAAAGCAGGTCAATAAAGTTACTTTTATCACACTACAATTAGACAAATTAGGTATACAAGTTGAAATTTTAATAGCTGGGTGAAAAGGTTACTTTTTCGCCCTGTTGTAGGGCGATATAGTCACTTAATCACCCTACAACGGGAAACATTAGGTGTGATAAATTCCATCAAAATTGAATAAATGTTATTATTTCATAGGTAAATTTTGTTTGGGGAAATAGTGGGAAGTATTTAGCATATTTTTGAGTTTATTTAGTTTATTAATTTTCCAACTAACATATAAAAAATTATATAAATAAATATAATATGTATATAATAATTTTAACGTCTCAGGTTCTCATTTGATTGGGCCTTTTCCACTTGAAATAGATTTTAAAGGTAATAAAACCGTTTGAGGTTTAAATAAGTATTGAATAGTGTTAAGAATAGCTTAGTACTGTTCCGGGGTTTGCGTAGGTAACAGCGCCGTCGTACCGTGCCCTTTTTTACTGTCTAATCAGTACCGTCCCGGTTTCTGCGTAGTGAGCTAGTGAACAGCTCTGCCGTACCGTCCAGACCCGCGCTGTGAGAGTTTGCGGCTGATAGATAGATCATCATCAGTTGTGAAGCAACCGTTTAGAGTTAAGAAGAGCTCAGCTCTGGCTTTTACTTCAGTTAAACCGTTAAACATTCCAACCATGAATTCTGGTTTATCGGTAGGGGTTTTTTATTTAAATAATATATCATTTCAACCGTTTAGTTTGAAAGAAAAATTTCCAGGTTTCTCCAACATTTTTAAAAATAAAAAAATTCCAATCTATTTTTTGTGCTATATGTTGTCAAGAAAATGTATCACATATTTGATAACAAATAAATTCTATCGCTTTTCTGTTTTTTTTTCTCTTTCAAAATCTTCAGTACACTTCTTCTAAAGAAACATATTTGGCTTCCTAGTGTATATTTCTTAGTTGGGTCGTGTATATTCTGTTGTATACCCATTTAAGAATAATAGACTAGTTTTGATTTTGTTTTTTAAAATAATATTTAGCTTACAACTTGTTTTCGAACATTCCTGGAAAATATGAAAATGTCGTCTTCATTACCAAAACAACTCCATATCTGTAAACATTTATCTGGACAATGAGTCACCATTTTGTTATTAATATCTGAGGGTT